TGTGTTGTATATATACAAAAAGTTTGTTTTGTTGGAGGAAACTTGTTGGAATTGTAGCAATTTCAGTTCTCAATGTTTTGTATTTGTTTTTTGTTTTGATTTAAATAGGATGCAATTTAAAAATACTTTGCATCAAGGTGTATGCAAAACGTTGATGCAGTGCATCACAAAACAAAAGTTTGTATTTAATGAGGAGGTGCTTTACACTGTACTCTTTGGTGTTTTTTGGAAAAATTAGATTTAGATCTATTCTGAAACTGTTCATTTTTAAAAAATAAAATGTTACAGGTTTCACGTGATTTATTCTTAGCTATCAAGATTGCATTATGATTTTAGATTGTGTTTGAAAAAAGCCTTTGTAGTAATTATTAAATTTACATTTACAATTTTTTATGGTTTACAAGTTACCTACCATTTATAGTGGCAAATCAGTTTATACTCACACTGGCATTCCTCTTGAGTGCCTTTTGACAGTTCATTTATAGCTCCACCACGGAGTCATGAGAATGGAAAAGAATTTACAGTGCCCTTTAGAGGTCACTGAGCTCAACCACTCACTTTGTATCTTAGTAAGTGAAGTGCCCAGTGTTTTCAGGACGATATATGGCCGTCATGCCTCGAAACCAGATCTTCCATTTCTCAGTTCCTTTATGTTCTGTGACTTGAACACCACAGAAAGTAGTAGTAGATTCCATTGAAGTAGAAATAATACTTTTATTTCTGATGTTTTCTAATCCTATAAATGAAAATTCCTAGTAAAATGTCATCTCTATGAAAGGTTACAGTACCCTGTAGTTTAGGTTCATTATGAGCTCTTGTATTGGGAAGTTCTCAAAGGTAAGCAAGAGTAATTCTAGCGTGTGTCGGATGTTGCATGGAAATTTTTAATTATCTTCAAATTAAAGCGGCAATGATATGTGGCTTGACAGATACTTAAGAATTACTAATAGCCATGCTATAGTATTTTTAGCATGGTTTGTAAATCTCTTAAAATAATAATCATGAGACTTAATTTCTTTGATAAGCAAGTTAGGGAGGGCTAATTGAAAAGGCCAGTGTTGTTACCAAGATTTTATGTACCGTATATACTCGAGTATAAGCTGACCCAAATATCAGCCAACGCACCTAATTTTACCACAGAAACTGCATTAAAAATGCTGAAAATCTCGGCTTATACATGAGTATGTATGGTACCCTTTTTTCCTAGTCTGCATAATAAAATTATCACTATAATTTTAATTGTAAGCAGATCATAAAGTACTGAATGGAAAAAAATACGTCATTGCTCAATGGCTATTGTTCGTTACAGTAAGTTTATTGTCATTGTTTGCTTTTACTAGGCTCATAATTCACACAACACAGTTTCAGGTTAACTTTTTCTTATTTTACATATATATAATGATAAGATTGAGAAAAAGCTGTCTCAAACACTGCAGAGAATGAATAGTTCGCATTGAGAATGCAGGCAAGAGTAGAGCAGAAATAAATTCAGCTTTGATCAGAATACTCTGAAACTCTAATCAACATTACTGTTTTTGCCACTGTTAAAAACAAGCAAGAGTTGCTTTTGAGTGTCAGTCTGGAATTAGTCTTCTCTCCTTTTTCTACAATCAACCCATTTTGCAGATGTTGGACTATTGTAGGCCATTAATAGGGATTTAAAGATCTGATTATAAATTATTAAGTGTCGGGAGTCTTTTTTTCCTCTGTCATTAGTTTTCTTTTCTATCTTAAAGCAGCTCAGCAAAAAGTTTGATAATGCAAACAAAAGACACGCATTCCGTGGCTAAGATGTCCTTGTGTGATCTGTACAAGGGTAGTCTAAATGAATTCTAGTAGGGTTTCAGTTCATACATGCATAGGTTTACTCCAAACAAAAAAGTGTTGAGAAAATTAAAATTTTCAGCGTGAGAAAAAGGTCAGGAAAGTTGTGCTGGGGAATTTATTTCCATCCCAGTAACGCACCTGCTTATTTGAGGTTAGCTAGGACTATCCTACTAGAATTTTGGTAGAGAAATCTTTATACTATCCACCCTAC